ATCTATCTAACTATCTGTCTGTCTGTCCGTCCGTCTGTCTATCTATCTTCATATATATGTATGGGATAATATATGTATATATATATGTACATAAATATATAATAATTATATAATAATAAAAAATACACAATAGAATATGAGAAACCAAGAGAAGCACAAAGTATCATGTGAGATCTAAGAAAGGAAAGACCATTTTCAACTGGAATCATTAAGTAAGATTTCCTAGAGGAGATGGCATAGGTGCTAGGCTTTAAAGGATGGGTAGGATTTCTAAACATAAAGATGGAGAAGAAAGGGGATTTCAAGTAATTGTGTAAGCAAAGACATGGAGGCAGGAAAGACTTTGCAAATAGTTGAGGGATAGAGAATAATATAGTTTTGTTAAACTTTTGCTAGTGTGGAAGAGTGTAATGTGATGCAAGACTGGAAAGTTGGAGAAGTACCAAGTTGTGCATGTCCTTGACTAATTTTGTACTTCATTGGGTGGTAATAGGTGGTCATGGAAGGTTTTATGCATTTATTTTTAGTTTTCAACAGTCACTTTTATAAGATTCTGAGTCCTAAATCCTGCCCCCCTCCTTCTCCTCAAGATGGCATGCAATCTAATATAGGCTATACATGTACAATGATATTAAACATATTTCCACATTAATCATGTTGTAAAAGAAGAATCAGAGGGGCAGCTAGGTGGTGTAGTAGATAGAGCACTGGTCCTGGATTCAGGAGGACCTGAGTTCAAATCCGGCCTTAGACACATAACACTTACTAGCCGTGTGACCCTGGGCAAGTCACTTAACCCCATTGCCCAAGCCCCCCCCGCCAAAAAAAACAATCAGAACAAAAGGGAAAAAACATGAGAAAGAAAAAACAAAAAAAAGAAGAAGAAGAAAATAGTATACTTTAATCTGTATTCAGACTCCATAGTTCTTTCTTTGGATGTGAATAGCATTTTCTAACATGAGTCTTTTGGAATTGTCTTGGATCATTGCATTGCTGAGAAGAGCTAAGTCTCTCAAAGTTGGTTGTTGCACAATATTGCTGTTACTATGTATAATGTGCTATGTATAATGTGTATAATGCATTTCACTCAACATCAGTTTATGTTAAGTCTTTCCAGGTTTTTCTGAAATCATGGAAGGATTTTTGACAGAGGAATGACCAGATACAAAGTGTTGCAAAGTTGGTGACCTTGTTGGGAGTAGAATATAGTGAGGAGAGATTGTAGGCAGGTCTTTCGTGTAAGCTTTTCATTTCTGTTTTTGTATCTTCATTATTGAATTGAATATGATCTTTCAAAAGTTTGTTATAATCTGGTATAAACCAATTGACATTTATCAGGTGCTTACTATATAAAAAGAACCATGACATTATATACTTTTCTCTAAATTTGTTATACTTGTCTATTCATACATACACAGTATACTTTGTTGGCCTTTCATTCTCATTTACACTAAATAAATAATAATATCCACCCCCATAATTTGTTACATTATAACATTTATAGAAAAAAAGATTTTCTACTTTTAATATATTGTTGCATGTGGTACACTGTGCTCTTACACAGATACATATATATATATACACACATATATATACAGTATACTTTCATACATTAACATGTTTCTTGAATCTGATAATTCTATTTAAACATCTACAAAAAAATCTACTTAAATACCTACTTAAAAATCTATAATTTCTGCTTAAGCAAACAAAAAACAACTCTGAGAACCTTAATTCAACAGGAAGCTATATCAATCCAGGAGACCACTAAATTATTGATCCTTGGTAGATGTTAGGTAATAGAAAGAATTTCTTTGTAAAATGGCCACATATATTGATACCTGTACATATACACAGCATTCCTATGTTTCCTTCTTTCATTATCAGCTTTCACATAAACTTCCCTTAATCTAGGTAATGTTCAAATATTCAAGTTACCACAAGATGGCAACAGATCATTTCATGCAGTTTTGGGAGTAGACTCAATGCAATAATTTCTAACTTTTAAAAATTCTGTAGAATGAAAAACAGATCGTTTTATTTAGCTACTGGTGAATACATTAAAATAAACCTGAATAATTTTATTTTTTACTTTATTGTGTGGAAAATTGTTTTGTTTCCAATTAATATAGTTGGCTTTTTGAAAATATTTATGTAGCAAAGTGACTTGAATCTCTGCCAGTGATTGGACTAAGGCATGTGTTTCACAGTGTTGTGTGGTAATGAAATTCTGATTTTAATTTTGTTATTTCAAAGCATCATGTTATGCATGAGACCTGAGTGTATAATGAAATGTAATTTCATGATTTCCTCTGGTTCTTAAATTAATCTGAAGTTTTAGTGAGTACCAACCAAATACAGTCAAATGTTTGGGTTGCTCTTCTGTGCTAGAATTTCATTGATGGGTAATCTAGAGAAATGATCAGAATTTGAAAGGTGCTTCAGATAATAATTTTATTGCCATGCATCCTGAGTGATAGATTACCTTTCTTGCTTCTCTTATTGCTTTGTAGTCTAATAATCCTTTTTTTTTAAACAATGTGTTTATAATATCCACTCGGCATATGTATGCTAACATCGCAAATTTTAATGGAAATTCTGTGGACCATAGTACATTAATTATCCCTGTTTATCTTCTTATAACAATTTTTTTTTCTTTCTCCTCACATTTTCTTCAGACGAATTGAACAAATTTCAGAATGGTGCATCTAAAATAATTGTCCTTCTCAATGTGGGATGATACAACCAAAACTTTTTCATTGTGTTAGAGAATGCTGATCTTCTGAATAGCGTTGTTATAGCATAGATTGTTAGATTTTATAGAGTTTTAGAATATTAAAGCTGGATGGGATCTTAGAAAGCAGAACATAGAATTTTAGACTTGGAAGAGATCTAAGAACATAGAATGACAAAACTGGAAATGATCTTAGTGATTGAGGTAGTTCAGGTCACTCAATTTACAAATGAAGAAACTGAGGCCCAGAGAGGGAAGCAACTGTTGTCCTTTATGTTTAGAAGCTATCTCAGCATCTCTTTCTTCCTTTAAGATGCTGTTCAAGTACCATCGTCTAGTGGGGAAAGGAGGGAGAAAGGGAAGGGAAGAGAATAATCATGCATATAGTGAGTGCTGTGTGCCAGGTATTGTGCTGAAAACTTTTTTTTTTTTACAAATATTATCTCATTTGGCATCTTCTACATAAAACCTTTCCTGATTCCCCAACTGGTAGTGCTCTGTTCCCCAAACTACCTTATATTAGCTACTCTGTATATATTTGTATTTATTTGCTTTATATTTATGGTATTTATATGCATTTCTTAATTTCCCCATTAGGTTGTAAGCTCCTTATGAATCAGAATTGTTTTATCCTTTGTACTTGTTGGCAGTCCCATAGTACGGTGCCTGGCACACTGTAGCCCTTCACAATAGTTGATTGGTTGGTCAAGGTCATGCAACTTGATCAGTAGAGGATGAGCAAACAGACACAGAGTGGCTAAGTGACTTGTCCTGGGTCATATAGGTTGTACATATCAGAACAGGGCTCAAACTTAGATCTTCTCTAATACTATTTTTTTTTTTTTTGGCCTGGGCAATGGGGTTCAGTGACTTGCCCAGGGTCACACAGCTAGTAAATGTCAAGTGTCTGAGGCCGCATTTGAACTCAGGTCCTCCTGACTCCAGGGCAGATGCTCTATCCACTGCACCATCTAGCTGCCCCTCTAATACTATTTTTAAAAAAAAAGTTATAAAATAGATGACCATGCTTTATGAGCAACAAGCTTTGAAGACACAATATATAAACAAGGGAAATGGTAGGGGTGGGATGTGAGAGCATAGTTCTTCTAGTTCCTTTTAATTTGTCTAGAAACAACCTTTCAAGACAGGAGTGTGGGAGAGCTAACCAGGGTGAGACTGGGATCAGTGATTTGTCCTAGGATTGGTTTATTAACTAGGGCCCATTCTTTACTTTGTACAATCACTTGATACCCAGGTTACCCCCTATCCGCAGGAGGGTAAAAGAAAATATTACTAAGCCTGGACAAGAGGGGTGAGCAGAGGAGCTGCTGGAGATTGGGTTAGCTGCCATGAAAGATTGGACAAGGAAGAGAGCTATCTGAAAGGCAGTATTGTGTCATGGATAGAATGCTGGACTTGGAGTTAGAAAGACCTGGATTTGCATCCTTCCTTAGATAAACTGTTTAGTTGTATCATCATTGGCAATTCACAACCTTTCTGTGCCTCAGTTCTTTCATCTGGAAAATGCAGTGGTTGCAACAAAATCGCTGCTAGGCCTATACACCAAAGAGATAAAAGAATACAAATAGACCTATACACACACACACACACACACACACACACACACACACATCTAACATATAAAATATAGCAGCTAGGTGGCATGGTGGGTAGAGCATGGGGCCCACTGTCAGGGAGACTTGAGTTCAAATTTGGCCTTAGAGACTTACTAGCTGTGGAACCTTATACAAGTCATTCAGTCTCTGTTAACTCTAGTTTCCTCAGAGGTAAAATTGGGTTAATGATAGTATCCACCTTGCGGTGTTGTTGTGAGAATTACATGAGATGATATTTGCAAAGCACTTAGCACAGTGTGTGACACATAATAGGCTTGTGATTTCTCTCTGAATCTTATCAACGGTGGACCCTGTCCATTTGTTGGAAGTGGCTCTATTCTCTAATTTTTTTGGGGGGGATTATCATCTTTTTGAGAAAGGTAACCTATCAGCAAATGATTTCTCAATAAATATCCCCCATATGGAAACTATGGTTATTTTATAATAAAAGTAAGTGCTATCACAGGAAAAAACGGGTAAATCAATTTTTTTTAAACTGAATATCTTCATTCCTTTATCTGGAAAGCAAATCTAAGACATTAGACTGAAAACTGATCTTTACTTAGAGATTACTTAGAAAATACTCAGTGATTCTTTAAACAGAAATATCTATTTTAGTAACCATGAACTCTTTGTGTTCTTTCCCTTAGTACCCTAACGCCATGGATAAAAATGTGATTGCTGTGAGAATTGTGGAAGAACGAACAGGTGAGCTGCAAGCATGCTTGTTATGAGGTCATTCATGGTTGTTATCTTTTATTTATTTATTTATTTTAGGCAATTGGGGTTAAGTGACTTGCCCAGGGTCACACAGCTAGTTAGTGACAAGTGTTTGGTCTGAGGCTGAATTTGAACTCAGGTCCTCCTGACTTCAGGGCTGGTGCTCTATCCACTGCACCACCTCGCTGCCCCATTATCTTTCTTTTAAAAGAAAGATTAGGCACAAGAGATGGATTTGTGGTCTAATAGATTTTCGACATCAAAACAATCAACAACCTCTGACAGTTAAGTTTCTTTATTAACTTTTTCTGCTGGTGACAGTAGATGAATAATTTTCTGTTCTACTCTTACCAACTTTGATATCAGTGACCAAATAGAGTTTGTGTCTGCCAGAGGTCAACCGGCTAGTTAGTGACAGAGTCTGGATTCCATTCTCACTGGATAATATCTGAATAATAAAGGTAGATAATTAGATAATAGAGACAATATCATCTCACCGAACAATATCTCCCAATTCCCAATCCATTGCTCTCTCCATATTACTCATACTATTCTTATTCTTAGTGTTTGCATTTAATTATCTTAGTTATAGTTACATGTTGTCACGTGTGCCAACAGTGAAAGCAATGACACAGATAATCCAAGGTGGTAGATAGTAAAAAATTCTCCCCCCCTTTTTGTTTTAGCTTTATGATACATTAATGATAATAATGATAACTTACATATCTATAGTTTATTACAACCCTGTGAAGTAGTTAGTGTAAGTATCATTGGCCTCTTTTTTCTTGGGGGCGGGGAAAGATCAGGCCTGTGACTTTATTGGCACAGAGAACTACCAATACAAATTGGCATCTGCTCTGCAACATTTGGTCTTGTAGAGTTGCCTAGGTAACTGAGAATTCAAGTGACTTATCTACAGTCACACAGCTGAGGTAGAACTTGAACTCAGGTCTCCTCACTCCAAATCCAATGCCATTTTCACTATACCATAGTGGCTGTCATTCACATGAAATGGACTAATTGAAGGTGGTGGCCTAGAAATACGACCAGGTAAAGTATGTCTGGGATTAAAAATATGCCATGGAACAGTCACATAAAGATGACAGAGAGCTTATCAAATTGATGTGAAAGATAAAAATAATTAAAATCTCTATGCACACATGCACACACCTACACACACACACAAACACAGAGCTAGGTGACACAAGGGATAGAGTTGTGGACCTGGAGTCAGGAAGACCTGAGTTCAAATTTGTCCTCAGACACTAGCTGTATGACCCTTGGCAAATCATTTAACTTTTGTCTGTTATCAGTTTCCTCATCTATAAAATGGGGATGATAATAATAACACCCACCACCCACAGTTGCTGTGATGATCAAATGAGCTAATATTTGTAAAGCACTTTGCAAACCTTGAAGCACTATGCAAATACTAGCTACTCTTATTATTGTTATGTTATTGTTTTTAGATGTCTCAACAGGGATCATCTACAGAAAGAGGATTGCAATCTGTCAGAATGTGATTCCAGAAATTTTAAGAAAGGTAAATGAAGTTTAACTTTACTTAGTATTGCACTAGTTTGGGGCAGCTAGGTGGCACAGTGGAGAGAGCACTGGCCCTGAAGTCAGGAGGACTTGAATTCAAATCTGGCCTCTGACCAAATATTTAACACTTACTAGCTGTGTGACCCTGGGCAAGTCACTTAACTCCAATTGCCTTAAAAAAAAAAAAGAATTGCACTAGTTCTTCATCCCCCATTCTGCTACACTTAGTCATAGAATTGCAGGAAGGGATTTTAGAAGTTATCTAGTCCAAACCAATCATATAAGGAAACTGAGACCTGACAGTGTCTCTAACCTTACTGGGGTGATACCATGAGTTAAGGTTAAAACTGGAAGTTGGCAGCAACTCGTTGGTGCAGTAGATAGAGCACTGGCTCTGCAGTCAAGAGGACCTGAGTTCAAATCTGGCCTTACACACTTACTAGCTGTGTGACCCTGGGTAAATCACTTAACCCTGATTGTCATTCCCCACCCACTCCCCCCCCACCAAAAAAAAAAACCCCCAAACTGGAAGTAGAACCCTGGTTTTAAACTCTAGACTAGTGCTAATTCATAAAAATATAATGGTAAAAGCATCAGTGCAAAAATTCATAAGGCCTATTTCCTTTGCCTTCAGGCAAAGTTGTCCTTAAACCATTCGGAAGAATGGGAGTTTCTCTAGTACATAAATTTTTTCACATGGAAGAAGCCTGATCAGCGTCCCAAGTTCTAGCATCTTGTAATTCCTCATGGGCTGCTAGGGGGCACAGTGGATAGAGTACTGGGTCTGGGGTCAGGAAGACTCATATTCCTGAGTTCAGATCTGGCCTCAGACACTTATTAACTGTGTGATCCTGAGCAGGTCATTTAACCCTGTTTGCCTCAGTTTCCTCATCTATAAAATGAGCTGGAGAAGGAAATGGCAAACCATTGCAGTATCTTTGCCAAGAAAACTCTAAATGGGGTCACTAAGAGTCAGACGTGACTGAACAACAAAAATAATTACTCATAGTCGGGGATTAAAAAAAATTAAGTTTAACTCCAATTCCTTCAGTTTTAAGTTAATTCCTCTTTGTTTTTTTTTTTTTTTTTTTTTTGGTCTTTAATGGAGATATAGAGATGGTCTAAATTAGTCTTAAAAGAAATAGGAAACATATTGCATGAGTGAGTTGGATTTTACATTTTTTCTTGAAAGGGTAAAAGTGATTCTTTTTATATAAAAATGATCTGATGTGTAAAAGTCGCACAGATTTAGTTTGACCTTTTAGGAAGGATGATAAACTTCCTTTTTAAACTCGTGGCCAGAGATGACAAAAGGAGTATTTAAGATGGAACCCTACTTCTTGGAGATCTCCTTTAAATCTTTTTGTACTCATGTTTCTATAGAGTAATTATATTACAGAAAAAGTGTTTATGATAGAAAAATTGTTTTTTCTCTTTGAAATCCCTTAAAGCCACACTGCTGATGCATTTTAGGAAGAAGGTAAGTGAAAAGTTTTACTTTCCCTCCACATTGCTTGGATCAGAAGGAGCATTGTTGTTGGGGGGTATTTAAAGAACCTGGAATTAGAGCATTCTGATAGATATTTGAAACTTGAATTGATTGTGTATGATTCAAATCCCAGCTCTGCTCCCTAAATGATTAAATTTGAAATTTAATTGCTGTCTTGTGTAAGTGGGTAGAAAAACAGTGGTTTCTACCATTTCACTTATGGAAGATTCAACATTATGTTAAAGATTAAAGATGACCTTTAGTGAAAGGAGAGGCTATGCCTCACAATAGCAATGAGCTTACCTTCAATTTGGGATGGTAAAATGTTTTGCATTGTATACAGAGAGTATGATAGGGATGGTTTCTATACACAGTGCATGCTACCATTGCCCCAAATATGCATATTGAATCTATTATTCAAAAATGCATTCACCTTATCACACATCTCAAATTCTAAATTATTTAAGGTACTTCTGACTTGTACATTTCTGCTTCTTGTATTTTTTGCACATCTCCTCCACTTAGGAAAGCATAAATTTTCAGGTATTGGGCAGAGACTAAAATGAAGAAAATATTTTACCTGATATTATCTTGCATGTGATGGTCTATAAGTGGGTCCTATTAGAATCCATCAATTTAAGAGGGCCATAACTGAGCTAGAGCTGAAACATGAAATAGGCTGATAATTTACTTAGTGTTTAGTGGTTAGGGAAATCTGGCCAGGGGACTATACGGCTTGCATAAATCTTGGGCCATCTGCATGTCCTCACTAGCATTTATTAAGGTCAAAGTACATTTGATTATCAAGGGCTTACAGCAGTTGGTGAGATGTGTCATCTCTGCTTAATAGTCATTTGGCCTCATAATTATCCAAGACTGAAAGTACCTCCTTAGTTCCTTTTCATGTAGCTTTCTTGCAAAGGTAAGAAGTTGCCATCCCTTTGTTGGACAGGTGAGCATTTTAAAAGTGCCAAATATCCAGTTGGAAGAAGAATCATGGCTCAATCCTCAGGAAAGAAATATGGCTATAAGAAGTCACTGCTTAACGTGGACCCAATATGCATCCATGAATGAGGAATCTGTCTTCAGGGAAAGCTTGGAAAATCCAAATTGGTAAGATTCCCTCTATCCTTTACTACCAACCCTCCTTCCTCCTTCTTTTTTCTCTTTCTTTCTCTTGCTGTCTTTCCCTATTTTAAGTTTTATGCATATAACATTGTTTCGATTCATACCTTTTGCTCCTAAGAATATTGTAATATTAGTCCCTTTTGAAATTGCCTCTTAAGATTCCTTTAAAGAAGGGCTTTTAAAAAGCTTCTACTAGCCTGATACATTTATTATCTGTCCATTTGAGCTACTTATGTCATGATCTGGATGTGTGATTTCATTGGTATCTGGCATTCTTCAGGAGCAAAAGTTCCTCAACCCATGTAGATTGACAACTGCTCTGCAGTTTATCATCTTATGGAGTTGCCTGGGGTTACCAAAAGGTTAAGTGACCTAGCCACAGTCATATAGCCAGTATGTTTTAGGAACAGGACTTGAAAGCAGGTATTCTGGCTGCTGAGGTTGGGCTCTTTATCCACTCTACCATGATGCCATGTCACTTATGCCATAGTGCCTGATGATTCACTCTGTTAAAGTACATATGATAAGAAGCTACTAGATGCTTTGCAATCATCCTTCTAAGAAGATGCTATTGCTCACACACTGCCAAAAGAAGATGCACATTAAATGATTTCCTCAGTAGTGAGGACAAGTTTGCTCTGAGCAGTCCACACTCTCAGGTGGGCCAAATGTTTCCCATTTGGTGAAACAGCTGACTGGGGATAAGAGTACCATCTGCATGTATGAAATAAAGTTTTTCTTACTACATGGTAGTATGAAAAGTGCAGCACTTTAGATTTTCTAATTTTATGTAGAAAAGTTCTGTTTTAGACAGGAATCTAATTTCATTTCAACCTAATATTTCTTGGGCCCTTTTCCTGTTGGATGAGCTTTCCTCAGTGAAATGAATATTGACACCATGGCCTGGAAATCCCAGGGAAATAACTTTTTGGAAACCTTATTCTTTCATGTTTTTGTTTTGAAATCTCCCCAAAGCCCTTTAAAGATATTATTTTACTGGCACTTTATTTTTCCTTTTGCCCTCAACTCTAGGATTTCTTTTTTTTCTATTAAAATACAATTAACTTTAGCATGGCTTATTGAAAAATATGAAAGACTGGTGGCTGAGTTTTGATGTGGCCATTAACTAATTGTGTGACTACGGACAAGTCACTACCATTCTCTTATTTCCTCCTAGAAATTGCAGAGATTGGATTATGTAATCTTTGGGACCCTTTCAATTTTGACATTCTGTGATTCCCCGATCAAGTTTCTAATGTTTCCCCAAAAACCTTTTAGATTGGGTTTGATGGTCTTTTCCTGAAAAGATTATTTCTTAGTCTATCTATTGTTGGGTTCCTAGAGGTGATTTGGAAAGGTGCCAACTGTTTAAAACAGGGAATATTTTACCTTCAAAAGGCTGCAGGGGGAGTATGGGCCAGAATGTAATATTTAACTTTCTTTCTCAGGCATAAAAAGATTTTTATCTTCAAATTTATATGATCAATGATCTATATTATAAACTAGACATCCTAACTTAGAATTTCTTGGGTTTGCTTGGTTCTTGGTGACTCTTGTTATTGGTTTTTAAGAGTTTGTTATTTTCTTCATGCTAGGACCTACAGGTCATATATAGAAGTATAAAGTATGGCCCTTGTCCTCAAAGAATTTAAAATTGATCAGGGAAAATAAGATGGATATGTGAAGGAACCCAACTAAAAATACAAATATGATTTTAAGTAATATATAATTATGGTACAGAGTATTGGTGCAATAGAAATTCAGTGGAGGCAGGAGCTAAGTCCTGGTGGGCTGTGGAGGAGGTGGAAACTTGGCTTTGAAGGATAGGTAGGACTTTGTAGCTAGAAAGGAGTAGGGAGAGTATTCAAGTAGGGGACAGAAGAGAATCTGTTGTTCAGTCAAGTCAATTTGTTGATTGAATCTAAATTTATTGATTAGAATGAATGGAAAAGGCATAGGTGGATCAGGTTTGCTGGGGAAGATAATTTATGTAGACATATAGTAGGAAGTAAGGTTGGAATGTTAGGTAGGTTAGTGATTGGCTAAGGAATTTAATTTTTTCCCTTTAGGCAATGGGAAATCATTTAAGATTTCTTAAGCAGAAAAATGAGGGAATAAAAGTAGTACTTGGGTTCCAGGGATCTCATGGATATTTAGCTCTTGATGTGGTTTAAGGAAGACATTTCACCAGACACCTTGAAACAAGTAGGTACTTGAGGGAGAGAAGTCAAGTAAAGAAATACATTCATTTATTCTTTCATTTCTCCCTCAAGAGTTGTGATAGTAATGACTAGTCACTTACGGGGACCAGAAGACGAAATATGAACTTTTTTTTAAAGACAAAAACTGTCAAGGCTGTTAAGCCTAAAATTAGATCTACAAGCTGTGTGTTGGTTAGCAGGTGTGGGTGTGTGATGGGAAACCAAATGTCATTCTGTCCCTATGCTCTGCCTGTCTCTTCAATTCCGAGATGGGTTTGAAATGGATTTCCTGCAGTATTTTGCTGAGACTATGCTCTATTTCCCTTTGCGTGTCTAATTTCAACTCCCACCTGAGTTTTTCACAATTGCGTCACCTCTTCAGGCCAACCACCTCCCCCTCCATCCTATTACACTTTGTTAATTTCCAAATCAGTCCTGTCTTCACTAAATTAACTCAACATCTTCCCACCCCCTGTCATCTTATAGGATCTTAGGATCAATGAGTTGTAAATCCTAGACTGTTAGAGCTGGGAGATGACGGAAGATCATGAGGTCTGTCCCTCTCAGATTCCTTAATATCTAAAGTCTTTATTTACTCACTTTAAAAAAAATGCATGAGAGAGTCTCTGTCCTCCAGGAGATTAGAATCTATACAAGATGTATTCTTGACATAGTGTCTTCCACGTTGTAGGCACTTAATAAATCTATTGAAATTAAATGACATAAACACAATAAAAATAATAATAAAATCCTTGATGTGTCATCAGTGATATCAAGTTTATATGGCTTCCCACCCCAAACATATTAAACAGCTTCTACATCTTGTGGAATCTTTATTCAATAATACAAAAATGTCAATTGGGCCTGACAAGTCCCAAAAAAATAGAGACTGAAGACTGAAGCTCAAATCTGGAGGTCAAGTTGAACTAATAGAAGGAGGTGATACTTAAAACTACCTTGGGTTCCTCTAGGCAATACATGTCAAACAAAGATGCCAAGGTCATATATGTCAAGAAACTTATTGGTATCCTGAAATCAAAGCAAGAAGAACATATTCAAAGCAATTAATACCTCTGTAATAGCAGTCTTAACATGCACAAAGCAGACCATGACCCAACAAAACAATTTAAAATATGAACAAAACACAGAGCCCATCATTCTAAGGCAGTTTTTTTGGGGGGGGCGGGGCTAAGCAATGGGGTTAAGTGACTTGCCCAGGGTCACACAGATAGTAAGTGTTATGTGTCTGAGGCTGGATTTGAACTCAAGTCCTCCTGAATCTAGTGCCAGTGCTCTATTTGCTGCGCCACCTAGCTGCACCATTCTAAGGCAGTTTTGGAAAAATTAATACTTCCTCACCAAAAAGCAGGATGATGGTTGGCAAATATTTTTATAGCACGTGATAAACTGGTTTGGAACTTACAGAAGTACTTTTGTACCATGTAGGTAATACTTTACCAAGCAATAGTAAAACCTGAAAATATGTTTATGCCAGAAAGTAGTTACTTTGAAGTAGGTAAAATGCAAGAGTGGAATCAAAAGGCCCTTCATTGCTGACATCCACATAAATTCAACCAAAAATATCTGGACAAAGAAGTACCAAATAAATGATTGAGTCATATGAATTTGCTGTTAAAAAGAAATAGAGGAGCTTATGATGGCAGTGAAGGACCAGAGCATAACTATCAGAAATTACAGATGGGTTGTGTTTAAGGAATCTGAATTTAGTGATCAATGGAGATTATATAAGGAAAAAGTAGTAGTTCTACAACAAAATCACTGCTAGATAACTTAGCGCTTACCATGTCAAGAACTATTGGTTAGGATTATACATTAGGACTTCTCTATCTCATAAAATACCAGGCAACAAATTTCCACGCTACAAATAGAGATCTCAAAATGTCTTTGAAAATTCCACAAGTAAACTGTACTGGAACTGGACTTACCACTGACAGTCCACAATTGCTTGGGCCCAACACTAAGTCTTAAAAATTTAAGAACTATGTTTTAAGTAGATGCTGCTATACCAAATACTCATAACCACCAAGGTGTGTGGAATAAAAAAAACTAGCAGAAGAAATCCAAATTATGTGGGAACAGTATTAAGTTCATATCATCCCCATAATCTTGTTTGCTTCTGGAACTGTCCCAAAAAAGGCTTTCAATGAGCCTACGACAAGTTCTAACCTAATACTTTTACAAAATTATGAGAAGCAGCTCTTTTTTTTTCCACCTGTGCAATAGTCCATAGAAAATTTAATGTATAAGAAAAACAGGATAGACACTTGTCATAGGTTCATTCCTGTCTGAACTCCATCAAAAAAGATGAGAATGAGATAATTATTAAAGCTCACAAATCATGAATTAAAATTTACAAATCACTTTACACACATTATCTCATTGGATCCTGACAGAGAGTAGGTACAATATGTGCTATTACCCTCACTTTAGAGATGTAGAAATAGAGTCTCAGAAGGGTTAAGTTACTCACCCATGATCACATGTTAAGTGCCAAAGGTGGGTTAGGTCTCTCCTGACTACAAGTTAAATACTTTTTCTACTACACCGATAAAATGGATTCTACCTTGCTTCAGACCATGTTTAGCAATGTTATTGTGTAGGTGTGTGCTTTTCCTTTCTTGAAGTCAGGACTGATTGACATGTCTGAATTTATGTGTTCCTTCAAAGCATCTGTATTTTCATCTGTGCAGTCAATGAGTTACATTTATTGAATGACTTGTTTTGCGGAATCGTGTGTGTGTGTGTGTGTGTGTGTGTGTGTGT